GAAGCGTGGCAGAGGCCGGCCGCCCAAGGCCGGTGGTGTGGCAAAGACGGCGAGGGATCTGAGTGCTTTGCGGCCCAGGAAGCTGTCTGGTAAGCCTGTGGGCCGGCCGAGAAAGGTGAGAATCTTTTATCAGTAAATTATATAATTTATTTTGTTAAGTGTAAATAAGTAAGATTTTTTTTTTCTTCTCTCTTTTCTTCTTTTACTTGTTGCTGAAATGTGGGTGGATTTATCAGTCAAACTGTAGGTACTTGGTAGTACTATTATGACCTTGATTTAGGACTCGAAAGTTGAAATTGAGGCTGTTGTTATTAGATTAATGTGGAGGGTACTGAGGTGACTAGCTTTTCTATTTTAATTTTTACTTTTTTTGTTATATCTGTGATGAATTTTACAATTTGAAAATGTTAGTATGTTACATACGTGGAAATGCTAAATAATGGTAAAATGGTCTGTACTTGGACAATCACATAAAACTCCCAACACATTTCAGTACTCCAAAAAACTAATATATTTGAGTTTTGTGTATCAGTGCACTGAGTTGTAGCTGTGGAGTCCTTCCATTATGACTTTATTTACGTAGCGACAAATTAGTTTAACAAATTGACTCAACGTTATGCATTTGCGTGTGGGGACAAGACTGAGTTGTGTATGAATTGGCAAAAACGTTAGGTGTGAGGTTTTACCTGTTTGCATTTAATTTATTAGTTCGTAGCATCAAGACTGAGTTGTGTATGAATTTCCAAAAACGTTAGGCGTAAGGTTTTACCTGTTTGCATTTAAGTTATTAGTTTGTAGCATCAAGCTTGTATTTGATAAGTAGAGTACAGATAGTTCAATATTTTATCAATCTATGTACAAAATTCACTGCATCTATTATTCGTTTCTCAAAGCCAACTAGCCAAGCAAATATATTTCCTTAACATTCTCTAAGATCTCATAAAGAAGCTAGACGAACATACAGATATATTTGTTGGGGGGTGTTTTGGGAGAGTAGAATATTTAGAGAATAAATTTCTAAGACTAAGCGTTGTATCGAGGAAAAATTTATAAAAAAATGGATATGTTAGGAGAGACTGAATCAAGAAACGGGATCGGATTGAAGCTTTCTCAATTTTAGTTGAAGTACTCAAAACGGCTTATCTGTCCTAATAAGTCGAGTGAAGCAGGATTAAGAAAAATGGATTCGGTCTGATTTGATATAAAAATTATCTTTTTATGCTGGCATTTTAGTTTACAATTCAAGTATGCTTATAATCTCAGAACTAGAGATTCGAGCACTCTTAACTTGGGGCTTTTATCATGGATCCGTAGGTTCCATAACATGACTCTCTGACACTTATTTGTACCTCCTTAACTTCCAAATTCTAGCGTATCTCATAATTGAAGTTCTTTTTATACTAAAGCCATGTTAAGTGTTGCATGGTTACATGACCGGTGCCATAAGAACCAAGTCTTAGTTTAAGAATCCTGAGAATGATATTTTTAATTGTGTAATGCTATATTTATTTGTGTCTGTTGCTAATTTTAATTAGTATTTATTTTAAAGCACAACAATATACATATAATAGCATCCGTGTACATGATATAGCACCATATGATGTGAATAATAGCATCATATACGATTCTAACACCAGGACTTGTTTTTATTAGAATCTTACCCCCTCTGTGTGTGTATGTGTGTGTATTAGCGAAAAAGGAGTGGCACAAGTTGAAGGGAACTTTACTAAGAACTAAAACAGCTATATTGATTATATTGAGTCTTAAATTCTGATTTTGGTAAATGTAATTTAATCTTTTGGATGAATATATGTCCAGGCCTTAAATTAAGTCCTTCGGTTAAATTCAATAGTTCAACAATTCTCTTAGATTGTATATTTCTCTTTGTCCTTTATTTTATTTTATTTTATTTTTGTAGTCTCTGGTGTTGCTTTAATAATATTATTCCTTTTTTTTTTTCCCTTCAGCTTAAAAATAATTTCATTAATCAAATACTGGATAAAGATACTATAAGCTATATTATGACATTTTAAAGTCTATATTACTTAGGCATTTCACAAACGTAGGAAAATGTTTGTTCAAACACAATCTTACTGCTCATTTAAAGTTGATGCATATAAATCTTGCATATTTGGAAGGGCAGATGCATATCATTTGTACTGCCGATTTGCATCCATTAGATCTAACTAATGGATTGTGATTTGTCTGTACATACTCGTTTTAAGAATGATTCTCATTGAATCCAAATCTCCACACTGACATAATGAGCTTCTAGTAGAGATAATGGGCTTGTCTATTCAGTTGAATAATATATAATATACTGAAATATATTTGACATCAAATTGTTTCCTGAAATATGGATTTTCAGGTTTCTTGATCACCAAAGCTCTGCATTAGTTTTACCATAATTGAAAATTTATTTCATTAGATAAACTTTCAATCAAATTATGTAATTCTAATTAGTCTCAAATTGCGTGCACGGGACAAAGATATTAAATAAGTTATTTTTACAGGCTTTGTCCGTTTAAGTGTATAAAACAATAGGGTTATCATCTATTTTCCACCTTTTTTAGTCAGCGTTAAGTGTAATATAATCAATAAGGTTATAATCTTATTTTTCACTTCTTTTAATGAGCGTAGTTTTTGTAGCCAGAGCATTAAATATGGGCTTAGACTAGCTTGTGAAATAACTAATACTAGGTACAACACCCGTGTATTACACGGGTGTTTGCTAATTTTTTTTAAAATTTAAAATTAATGAGAAAAAATTGTTTGAAAATTTAAATACCTTTTTATAAGAATATATATATTATTATATATTTATTATGATACTTTTTATTTGTGCGACTTACTTGTGTTATATTATACTAATTTTTTAACTTACAATATATAACTACATTAAATATAAATATATGAATTGAGAAATAATTTTATTTTTCTAATGAATTTTAATAAATATTATTACAAACAACAACAACAAAGCCTTTTA